CATGGAGGAGAATGAGGCATGAGAGGGCACAAGGCACCCAAAATACAGCTTCCGTGAGGCACTGCAGCAGCTTGGGCAAACACAGATTAATGTTAAACCAAGCTAAAACAAAATGTTTTGATTTGGTTCAACAAACTGAAACAAAATGTTTCAATTCACAAATGTGAATTCTTTTGATCACAAATGTCAAAACAAAGCATTTTGAGATTTCAAAATTAAAGTGTTTTGGAACTTTCCGTTCTTCCCCCCAGAATGTTGATATTTCAGCTCTTTGTTCTGATTAGGGCTGAAAACAAATTTTGAAATATCAGCATTTCCCCATGGCTGGAAAATCTGATTTTCAACCAGCTTTATTTTCAACCTAGTATTGAATTTTACATATCTTACACTTCAGTTCTAACCTGGGCCGGCTCCAGGCACCAGCTGAGCAAGCTCGTGCTTGGGGCGGCAGATTCCAAGGGGTGGCATTCCGGACGTCCTTTTTTTTTCTTTTTCTTTTTGGTTTGCCGCTCTGGCCGCCCTATAGGGGGCAGCGGCGCGGAGGAGGGGAGCACCCTGCAGCAAACTTGGCAGGGCAGCCTGCATCCTTCCCTCCCAGCCGACCAGAGCGGCCTGGAGCCCTCCTGGCAGGTGGCATGGTGGGAGGGGCCATGTGGTGAGTGCCCCGCTGAAGCCCTGGCTGCCCCCCTTCTCTAATGAAGATTAGACAGATTCAAATATTTGGCTAAGCACTTGAAGTCAGTGGCTCTGAAGGTCTCTTAACACTTCACAGGAGTGCTCAACCCCTTGCAGGATTGGGTCTAACAATCTATAGGCAGTTTCAATATTTTTCAGGTACCCCCTCTCAGTCACATGGGTCAGGTTTCTCAGTACCAATCCGCCACTAGTTAAGATAGCTTTTAAACAGTATTCTATTCACACACTGGAACTTTCCACAATGGGCTACATTTATATATTGTCCTCTAGATGACAGTGAAGGTAAATTCCTCTTCATCTAATTAAAGAGATATTTAATTTACCCCCTTTCCTCTACACAAATAACAAAGCCCTGATTAATCAGCTGTACAGCAAGAGTAAACACTCTGCTTCACTTAATTAAAAATTAAATTCCTCTTGAGGGATGATTACAGCAGGGAGCTGGTATATGCCTTTGCTAAATAGGTGTTTCTTCCATGACACAGTTAGAGGTAGACCACTGGGAACTCTGTATCAATATAAACAGAAATTTGTTCAGACATTCAATTAGGACTCTACACATGTTCATCCTCCTCTGAGAAGAGGTGTGCATAGAAAGGCCAAGGGAACTTTCAAGAATTTGGAGGTTAGAGTTGTGTTATTTGGTACATGATACATTTGATGTATTTGCATGGCATTTGATGCCCTTTAAATGAATATTTGTAATGTCAATACTTTAAAAAAGAGTGAATTTTGCACAAAGGTACTGCTCAAGGTTTTGCATGCTTCTGTGTGGGATGTTTTCAGTTTCCTCTCCCCCCCCCCCACACACACAAATCAAAATCTAACAAACTTAATTAAGAAAATATTGAACAAGAATTTTCATCAATATCTTTTCTTCTCCATTTCCCTCCCTCTGATAAAATTTGGATCACAGGGTACTTTTTCTTTTCCTTTTATCCTCTCCTTGGCAACTAGATCATCATTAGCTCTGCGCAGTTGCACATGGGCGTACCTTGGTATAAGATACCCCCTTAATCTTTTGTGCAGGCTACACATTATCCCATGGTTTGTAACATGGGAAAGAGCAGGCTCTGTGGAGCCGCTACTTCCCCACCTCCATGCAGGTGGGTGAGGCAGGGTAGGGACTGGACTGGACTTAGCTCCACCCCCTCTCTGCCCCAGCCAGCATAGGCTGTGGTAGCAGAGTGGGTGATATACACTGCACTGGGTACAGGTGCACTTCCTCCTCAGTACAGTGAGGAGATAGAGCGTAACACTCTGCTACACTGGGGCAACAAAACCATGTACTTCCTCTTGCTCAGGTAACAGTCTAACTAGTCCCTTGGAGAACACAGAGGGGAATAACCTGCTCCCTTAGAACTAAAAATCTGATTTTGGGATTATTTTTCCCTAGATAACAAGAGTGGGAATTCACGTGCAAACTGGCAATTTTAACTTCAATGCTAAGCTGAGGACTCTTGTAAAACATCCCTGTTGGCTAAACATCTTGGGTTCCAGGCATGTAAAATGTGAGCATTCTGTGAATTAGTAGTACAATATCAGGATTATTATTTATTTTCTCAAGAACTATACATGCAAGGTAAATAGACCATAGCAATATCATTACACACATTCCTACACTCACTTTAGAGACAATCAATATCAATTATCAAATTCTCAGCAGGAGAGAATGGTGGTGAAATTGCCCATAAAACAAATTTACAAAGTCAACCCAGTACTTTCTATGTACCCTTTTATTTTTAAAAATGTATAATTGTTTCAAAGGATCTTTTATCTTAATGATCATAAAATTGCCTATGTGTAACATCACGGACATCCATTGTACCTTATTATATTTCATGGAAATAATGAAGGTAATTGGATTCTTATTTTAATGAAGGTTTTTGGTTTTTATTCCATTGTATTCTTAGACTGTAATCTGTTTGAGGCAGGATCATTCTCTTGTATTTGTCTGCCAAGTACATACAAACATCAATGTCCCTCATTAAAATAAAATGGCATCCATCTTGATTAGCCCAACAGTAAACGTTTCAAATGCCAATTACAGTTAAATAGCATAGGCAGAGATCATCCTCACCTGCAGGAATATCAAATGGAGAGTCTGGTGGAAGAAAGCCTTCACGGAGATTTCTCCAATTCATTCTGTCATGTGGGTGAAGGTGCTTCCCATCCTCCCCTCCCCCTTCCGAATATATGACAGATCTGCTGCCAAACCTTTCACATTTCCGAAGAGCCCTCACACCCCTGGAGATAGCACAGCTCCAAAAAAACATTTTTAAATCCAAGCCTGCCAGTGACTCACGAGACAGTAGCTGTTCTCAGAACACTGGGGGTTCCCAGGTACTGAGGGTATGTCTACACTGAAATGTAAGCCTAGGTCTGTGGGACTACAGCCCTCAGATCTGGTATTTCTAAGACCACATTTCACTATATAGTCTTGAGTCAAACCAGCCTATCCGAGGCTTCCTAGTGCCCTACTCAACTGTAGCAGCTCTAGCCCTTGGTTCATGATGCACTATGGGAAAACTTGATTATCCATCCCATGGCACTTTACTGAAAGTTATCTCAGCCCACCAACACATCCAGCCAAGCCAGCTTTTTGGGTCGATATACTCCAAGCAACTGGAGCCAGCAGCATGGAAGAGGCACAATTTAAGGAACTTGTCCTCCTTGTGCTTTCTCTTCTTTTCCAGAAACAGGCAGAGCACCCATGTGACACTTTTGGATATTTCAGTGGCGTTTTATGACCTACCTAAGGCACCTATCAGAGGAGGAGGATACAGACATGGCAGACTCCAACTGGCTAATGTGGCTCATGACTCTCAGTATAGCCGCTGATGTCTCGTATGTAGACCGGTGCTTCTGGAGCTAGGCCACAAGCACAGAGTGGTAGGATCACATCATCATGCAGACCTGGGACAACCAGCATGAGTCCACAACTTCGGCATGAATAAAGCAGTGTTTCTGAAGCTTTGTGAAGAGCTTGCTCTGACCTCCAGCATCTGAACACATGCATGAGGGAGGCCATGCTGGTCCGGAAGTGGGCTGGTATAACTGGAAGCTGGGCACTGCTGACTGCTGCATGTCCATTGCTAACCAGTTTGGTGTTGGCAAGTCAACAGTGGGGCTGTGGTGGCAGAGGTTTCTAGGGCAAAAGGCATGTGATTTACCCAACGGAGGTGGGTATAAACAATGTCCCTGAAATAATTGGCAATTTTGAGCAAATGAGGTTTCCTTACTGCACCAGAGGCCGATTTATGGATGCCAGCATGGGCTTCACTGCAAAGGTGCCATGGTTTTCTGCCGATCGGGAGTCTACAGTCATGGACAGGCTAGGATGCTTTTCCCACTGAATGACATTGTCATAAATGCAGTAACTGTCCCCACAGTTATTCTAGGAGACCCATGTATTCCCTTTTGTCTTGGATTATTTAACCATACCCTGATCTCAGAGGGCCAGGCAAAAGAAGGTTGAATTACCCTGTTAGCAGGTGTAGAATGGTAGCTGAATGTGCATTTGGCAGATTGAAAGCCCGCTGGTGCTGTTTTACAGAATCATTTGGATTCCGGTGTTATCAATGCTGTCCACATTATTGTGGCTTGCTGTGCTTTTCACAATTTCTGGGAAGCCAAAGTTGAGCATATTCCTCCAGAGTGAAGCCATGACATTAATGGTTTGCTGAACTAACACACTCCACCATAAAATGCACCTGTCATAACGAGAGGAGGATGCACAAGTGCAACAGAAATCAGGGATACTTTGTGTGCCCACATTATGGACTTGCTTGGACCAATGGAAGAAGGAGAATGGTTCATATATGAATGCATCTGTGATATCAGCTGCAATATCAATAGTAAATGAAGTGCTATCACTGTATGCTATGCATGGGGGGGCAATGACTGTAATCAGTTTTTAGGTATGGATTACGTGACTGTTTATACTATGTTTTTTTTAACTTGTGGATAACAACTGTGGATTTTAATTATGGATCTGAAAAGATACATCAAGAGAGATAAGGTGGGTGAGGTAATATTTTATTGGACCAATTTCTGTTGGTAAAAGAGACACGCTGTGTAGCTTGAAAGCTTGTCTCTTTCACCCATTGAAAAAGGTATTACCTCATCCACCTTGTTGCTCTCATATCCTCGGATCAACACGGCTACAACAACATTGCCAACACAATATATTGAGACATCTTATTTGCATAAAACTTCCCAGTTATGCCTTATGATAGCTTTACCTTTATTCTATGACATACATTTGTTGTATGACGTGATGTAATGATGGTAATAAACTTTCATAATGAATTCAAAGACTTTATTCGTTAACGTGGTTGTATTACAAAATGACAGTATTAAAAAACTGACAGGCTGGCCAGCTGCTATAAAAAGAACAAACCAGAAACAAAATAAAGTTCATAACACAAACATTTAACAGTACAAAATAGTGAAACCAGTGTAGAAAAAAAGGAAACTCTCCTACTCCTGGGTGTCCCCATCCCCTATTCTCCTTTCTCACTCGGCGGTGCTGCATGGAGATGAAGGATTGCACAGGGATGGAAGACTGCATTGGGTACATTTGCCCAGTCCAAATAATGTTCAGTCCTGGTTGCATAGGATGCCCACCCATAGAATTGTCCAGTGGGTTCCTGATCTTCAGGACATGGTACCATGGAGCTCACTCAGGACATGGTGCTGGCGCAGAAGGTGAGAGTGGACCAGGAGCCTGTACTCTCACAGCCATTAGTATACGCAGCCTCTCAAACAGGTTTCTGATGCACTCTGTCTTCCTCCCTCAAGCAACATTTCTTGCTCAAGAAACTGCTACAAGTCTCTCATCACACTCTGCAGCCTCTCTGTCTTTCAACTTGCATTGAATCCTTCTGCCTTTGGTACTGTAACTGCTGGTCAGCCCTCTTCACACTTCCTCTTTGACCACACCATTATAGTGCAACACCCCAAACTCCTGCTGGATTGTGGCTGGGCTGCAGAGAGGAAAGAGCCTGAAAATAGAAATGGAACAGTACAGTATTGTCTCAGTATTTCTGAAAAGGTTCACTACATCAGCAGCAGAAGTGCCTTTAGAATCTCAAGGCCAAACAATGATACTTTGTAAAATTCTGCTTCAATATATTCTCAGAGTAACAGTTAAGTTCCCAGATATGCTTTGGATACAATTGAGAGATAAACAGAGTATAAATCCTTCACACATAATTTTAGAATGAAAATTATAAATGATGTAGCTTTAAAAATTAGAGACCATTTCAGTTTTTTGAGGGCAGGGGGTGGTAGCACTTGCTGGGGTTTACTACCTATGGCTTCACAGTCCTTTCAGGCATACAACATTCTGGAGGACATAATAATTCTGGAGATTCCTGAATGGCAAAGGGATATTCTAGCCCACAATACTGGAGGCAAGCCAGCTGTGTATGCTGAATAGGTTTTCAAGCTTATGGTGACTGAGCAACACATCTATGAGTGGAGTGGGCTGCTGACCTACAGAGGAGGACCCGGAAAGTATGCCCTTCCCTAACTACGCCCATCTGCAGTTCTGACTATGGGAAAAGTTTGCAGCTATTAGCACATTGTATCAAATTAATGAGGGAATCACCAGGATGCTGCACTAGCTTATAGATTGGAGAAGCAGCCACAGAAAGTGAGAAGGATCGGTCCTGTAGCCCTGGGTCCTTACTTACCGCTTGTATGTCAACCACAAAAAGATCAGTTAATCAGACTTCCTGCTGATGCAGTGACTTCCACCCTTAACATGACGTATACTGTGTTTTCAGACACTGAATATAGGATTGTCATGAACTGTGTATTTTATCAGTGATTTCTTGTCTTCAAAAGTGAAGGGCCTGATTCTCCACTGCCTCATTCCTGTTTTATTCCAATGTAACTCCAGTAATCTTAGTGGAAATATACTGGAATAAAGCAGTGGAGAAACATGCCTCAAGACTTTAATGCATTGTACCCCTTCCTATCTACTACTTTTCAAGGTGATTATACATATCCCACTTTGACATCACTATAACACTGTGCTTTCCAGGTTTGTCCATAAAAAGTACAAAGGCATCCATCATTTCCCAAGGCACTGCCAACTTGAAAGTGTCATGTTTGTACTTTTGAATGTGCAATATATAATTTCTCTACATTTGGTTCTTTAAAAGCCCCATCCTTAATCCTTTATCTCTAATTTAGACAACTAATTGCTTCAGACAAATTACACCATTCCCTTTCATATTTCCCTATATGCTAAATGCTGATAAGTAACCTCCATTTATCAATGATATTCAGCTTTACATTAATTATATTTCAAGGCACACACAAATCATTGTGCAGTACCCGCTTTAGTGATGCACAAATGAACCACATATTAAATATGAAGCAAATATGAAGTATTTAACTGAAACTGAGTGAAATACTGAATCCTGAGCAGAGATGAAAATAATCCATTCAAATTAATTCTGGTATTTTTAATTACTGTTATTTTTACTTCAGTTGACTCTCAAAAGTTACACTTTTTGAACTACAGCAACTGGATTAAAGATTCGAATGTATGGGGCCTACCTGAATCCTTCTGAATAGCCACAGTTATCCTGTGATTTGTAATGCTCTGCTCTCTCCTCTGTTAAAACCAGAAATTGTTTTTAATATGAAAATCAGTAGTTTACTAATGCCTGTTAGAACTTTATTTCATTTCTTTATATGTGCTATATTGCATTCATTTAACTGGCTTCCTGTACCATAAAAATTAAGGATAACATTTTTCTTAGTCTGATTATAATTAGGATGGCAATTGAAGGGAAATGGAAACTATTGCAAACACAATATTATTTTGGATATATTTGTAAGTTTAAACCCTGGCATTTAATAAGCAATTTGAGAGTAAGTTAAACATACATACGAACATAAGAACGGCTTTCCTGGGTCAGACCAAAGGTCCATCTAGCCCAGTATCCTGTCTACTGACAGTGGCCGATGCCAGGTGCCCCAGAGGGAGTGAACCTAACAGGTAATGATCAAGTGATCTCTCTCCTGCCATCCATCTCCACCCTCTGACAAACAGAGGCTAGGGACACCATTCCTTACCCATCCTGGCTAATAGCCATTAATGGACTTAACCACCATGAATTTATCCAGTTCTCTTTTAAAGGCTGTTATAGTCCTAGCCTTCACAACCTCCTCAGGTAAGGAGTTCCACAAGCTGACTGTGCACTGTGTGAAGAAGAACTTCCTTTTATTTGTTTTAAACCTGCTGCCTATTAATTTCATTTGGTGACCCCTAGTTCTTGTATTATGGGAATAAGTAAATAACTTTTGCTTATCTACTTTCTCCACATCACTCATAATTTTATATACCTCTATCATATCCCCCCTTAGTCTCCTCTTTTCCAAGCTGAAAAGTCCTAGCCTCGTTAATCTTTCCTCTTATGGGACCCGTTCCAAACCCCTAATCATTTTAGTTGCCCTACCCTGAACCTTTTCTAGTGCCAGTATATCTTTTTTGAGATTAGGAGACCACAGCTGTACGCAGTATTCAAGATGTGAGCGTACCATCGATTTATATAAGGGCAATAATATATTCTCCGTCTTATTCTCTATCCCCTTTTTAATGATTTCTAACATCCTGTTTGCTTTTTTGACCGCACACTGTGTGGACGTCTTCAGAGAACTATCCACGATGACTCCAAGATCTTTTTCCTGATTTGTTGTAGCTAAATTAGCCCCCATCATATTGTATGTATAGTTGGGGTTATTTTTCCCAATGTGCATTACTTTACATTTATCCACATTAAATTTCATTTGCCATTTTGTTGCCCAATCACTTAGTTTTGTGAGATCTTTTTGAAGTTCTTCACAGTCTGCTTTGGTCTTAATTATCTTGAGCTGTTTAGTATCCTCTGCAAACTTTGCCACCTCACTTTTTACCCCTTTCTCCAGATCATTTATGAATAAGTTGATTAGGATTTGTCTTAGGACTGACCCTTGGGGAACACCACTAGTTACCCCTCTCCATTCCGAGAATTTACCATTAATTCCTATCCTTTGTTCCCTGTCTTTTAATCAGTTCTCAATCCATGAAAGGACCTTCCCTTTTATCCTATGACAACTTAATTTACATAAGAGCCTTTGGTGAGGGACCTTGTCAAAGGCTTTCTGGAAATCTAAGTACACTTTGTCCACTGGATCCCCCTTGTCCACATGTTTGATGACCCCTTCAAAGAACTCTAATAGATTAGTAAAATACAATTTCCCTTTAGAGAAACCATATTGACTTTTGCCCAACAGTTTATGTTCTTCTTTGTGTCTGACCATTTTATTCTTTACTATTGTTTCGACTAATTTGCCGAATACCGACATTAGACTTACCGGTCTGTAATTGCCAGAATCACCTCTAGAGCCCTTTTTAAATATTGGCATTACATTAGCTATCTTCTAGTCATTGGGTACAGAAGCTGATTTAAAGGACAGGTTACAAACCCTAGTTAATCCGCAATTTCACATTTGAGTTCTTTCAGAACTCTTGGGTGAATGCCATCTGGTCCCGGTGACTTGTTAATGTTAAGTTTATCAATTCCAAAACCACCTCTAGTGACACTTCAATCTGTGACAGTTCCTCAGATTTGTCAGCTACAAAAGCCGGCTCAGGTTTGGGAATCTCCCTAACATCCTCCGCCATGAAGACTGAAGCAAAGAATTAGTTTAGTTTCTCCGCAATGACTTTATCGTCTTTAAGCGCTCCTTTTGTATCTCAATCATCGAGGGACCCCACTGGTTGTTTAGCAGGCTTCCTGCTTTTGATGTACTTAAACATTTTGTTATTACCTTTTGAGTTTTTAGCTAGCCGTTCTTCAAACTCCTCTTTGGGTTTTCTTATTACATTTTTACACTTAATTTGGCAGTGTTTATGCTCCTTTCTATTTACCTAGCTAGATTCTGCAGATAACACCTGTGTCCTTCCATTTCTGTGCAAGACCTCATTAGCCACACATGGATCTTGGTTCCTTTTCTACTTAAGTAAATTTAGCACTGTGAAGAAGCACTACAAGGTGGGCATTTCATATTAATGAACTCTCTTCTCCCCATGGTACATTCTTCCTATTTGAGAAGATTTAAAATTGACCCTTTGCCAGGAATATATATATGTTACATAAGATAGTAGTCCTGCAGCAATTAGAATCATTATCCATATAAACAGTCCAGGTAAACAGTCACTTAGGACTGTGTTTTCTAGTAGGTCAGACTCTGAAGCTATTTTTATGTGAGTTAAAGACACCTCTACCTGACCCCAGGCCTTCTTTGTTTGATTGAAGGCAATAGGGTCTGGGTCAAAAGTTTCTTTTCTCTTAACTATATTGAAGACAGCAAGATTGCTGAAGAAAAATTTAAAACATTGCTGGAAAAGAATTTCTCAGACCTCTAGTGGATTGAAATTGAGCTGCTCAGACTTAACATGTTACTTAGCACAGCAGTAATTTCTGGTAGTTTATTCCCTAGTGACTTTTGGAGGCCTCAGAAAACAAAAACAAAAGATATCAGGGCTAAATACTGCTGACAGGCATTATTCTCCTTTGGCTCCACTGTAAAGTTTACTGCTTTTTGGATACAAAGATTTCTGTTACAAGTATCATCCGGGACATATCCCTCACAAAATTTTATTACCAGTAGACTGTTTTGAGATTTCTAGCGTGCATTCCTTTTGCAATTTCATTAACTACTTGGAATTCAGACTTATTTAGCACTACTCAAATGGTTTTCATAGGGATTATTTATGTGCTATTCAGGGGCCAGAAAAGCAGGTTGCTGCAAAGGACTTAATGCAGATAACTACTGCAGATGTGTGGATTCTGGTTGAACAGCCTCTGTTTTTTAAATCTCTCTCCTTCTGTTTGCCCATCTATTTTAGAAGCTATAATCTTTTCATACCGCTAGGCTGGGCCTGAGCCACCTGCTATGTTGCCTCCTAGCTCTTGTCTCTACTTAGTTGCTGTTCATGAATGTGAGTCTCATGCTGGCAGAGTGTAAAGTGGATGGAAGAGTCAAGAAGAAGTAAAACATGGAAAGACAAATGTCTCAACAGCATAGAAAAACCCATCAAGGCCATTGCTTTCATCATGCCAATGAGAATGGGTGGAAAGAAAGAGAGAGCCCCCTCAATACAATTTTGTTGTAAAAGGAAGAATGAAAAGGAAGGAAATATACAGAGATAGAAAGAGAGTTAGGAGTAGAAAGAAAGTTTAGTGGATGATGAACATGTCGATGATGATGATTATGTATTATTTATATTGCGTTAACATCTAGAGGTTTCAATCAGGAATCGGGGTCCCATTGTGCTAGATTCTGTGCAAACGCATATGAAGATATGGTTTCTCTATAGTTACCTCCATCCATGATGCCACAAGTTGGCTGTGCTCTTCTGGAACAATGCAGCTCACAAACCCCAGGTTGCAGTGCATTAAAACCAAACCCGAAACATTCTTAGTTGAGGGGTTTGGCTGTGGATTAGCTTTCAGAGGTGTCTGACTACCTTGTCAGTGTGCGTAAAATTGTTCTGTTTGAGAAAGCTTTTCCACCATAAGGAGGTTGAGGGAGGAGGTGAAGAAAAAGAAAAAAGGAGTAGAGATGTGTACCCCAAGCAGAACCTCTCCACTGAGAAAGAAAGAAGAGCAGAAGGCTCCATGAAGCATATTAAGGCTTTCACAGTGAAAATCTAAATTATTTAGGAAGTATTTAGGTATTATGGTGATGGGCTCTATAGAAAACCCTAAACTAGATAGCATAGTAAAAGCAGAGATTAGAAATCAATTTATTTATCCCACCTTCCCAGCAGCATTTGGAAGAAGCACAAAGATCAAAGCAGTCCTCCCCAGGACAGAGAAAATGTAAGGATTGATATAACCATCTCCTCCTGCTGTGCTCCATCACATCCACTCTTCTCTACCCCACCCACAGGAACCCCCAAGTTAGCCCAACAATGTAGCCAATTCTTGCAATTTTATCGCAAGTCTCACAATATTTGTTGTTTGTCTTTAAGGCCCAGCTGCTGGAATCAGGTTATTACCTGATAATCTTTTAGCTAGCATTGAAAACATTTCCCACCCTCACATTTGCAGAGAAAAGCTTAAAACTAGGATTCTACATGCTCCAATGCCAAAAGGTAAACATAAAGACCCTCACTTTTTTAAGCTCATGATTTTTAAGTCAGTCTCAGGATTTTTGGAGCCTGATTCATGATTTTTGGATGCTTGAGGTTGGCAATACTCGCGTAGAATAGGGTGGGAAGTAGCATGATGATACCATGAATTACAGATACATTATTGCTGCCAGACACTTGGATGACAGAGCAATATTTTTGGTCAGTGAGGAAGAATCATCTTTATTTCCATTGCAAAATTCCAGCCCTTATTATTCAACTGAACTTAAATCTCCAATCTCTCATCCCTAATTTTCAATGTATTTAAAAGTGCTGTTTCAAACTGTGGATGGTATTGAAGGTACTTATCAAACATTGTCCAACCGTCAGAGTAAGATTCAGCTTTGTTGTAAGTTAATCTATATACTGGAGATCACAGAGATGCCAAAGCTCCTATTTTAAAGTTAGCAAAGAAAACAGATTGTAGGGTTGAGAAAAAACACATTTAGTCGGGTATTAATTATTGTGACAGAGAAGGACTTGTTTTTTGGGTCTGTGAATGTGCTGCTAATCCCCCTTAATCACACAGACAGGGTGAGAACTGAATTATTGACTCTTTCAAAGAGCTGATCATTCTTTGTTAGGTTTAAAGGAGAAATCCTAGAGCTAAAATCTAGTAGTAATCAAGCCTAGGATTTGTCACTTGGTTGGATAATAGAAAAGCCAGAAATGTTAAAGTACACTGAGCACATTACAAAACATATATACACTGTTTTATTCACAGAGTCTAAAACTCTTTAAAATTAAGTGCAGTCAAACTGATTTAAGATGTAGCATTAAAGGAGTCAAATATTTGATACCAAACCCCACTGATTGATCAGAATATTTCTGTCAAGTGTATAATGAAATAATGTCTCAGTAATGGGGCATATGAACCCCACACTTGGCCCAAAGGGATTAAAAGACAATGCTGGGCCCAACTAGCTCCATGCCTACAGGCCTGCGAAACAAGCTACAGCTGGAAGAATGGGTTAAAAGGAGCTTAGAAGCCTAGCTAAGGGGTAGTGGACAGGCTGCAGGGAAGAAAAATCCAGGAAAACAGACAGAAGGCGGCACCTGAGAGGGGACCACAGAGTGGGCAAGACCCAGGCAGTCCCTTCGCCAACCACCACCCACTTTGAGGACCAGCAAGCCTTGCAGGGCCCTGCTCATTTGGATTTTGTTTGTGAAGCTATTGACTGTTTGGACTATAGGGACCATGCTCCAGAAGTATCATATAGGTGGGAAATAGCCCAGGGCAGTGGACTTAGACTTTCTGCAGAGAGGACTCTGCTGGTGTTACTTTCCACAGGTACCTGGGCTGGAACCAGGTGGAGAGGGAGGGCCTGGGTCCCCCTACCATGCCCCACTTAAGAGCAAAGGCCCAGATGAAGTGGGGAGGCCCAGCGACACCTGGCCTGGGGTCAGGAACCAGGCACAGCTACTGCCCTGCCCCCATCCCCCAACAGAGATACAGCGGGTTAGGGGCACTAGACTACCTGGTCCTCCAAGCCCCCTATCACAGTCTCTTTAAGTCTTTAAAACTTGGATCGTGTCACAATATATGTGTCATACACCAGGAGTCACCGTATATGAGCACAGACCATGCAGAAAGTTTTATTTCTTGATCATGGGCCCAACAGTGGCTGGCCCTTGAAGAGGTGGGCCAGGCACAGTTACAGCCCTTGTGCTTTGCTGAGCCCAAGGACTGTTCACTTCTAGTATTAGAAGATGTCTTTCCCAATAGAGTGAAGAGAAGGTAGGGCCATGGCCCCACAATTCCTTCTATGGAACTGCCTGGACAAAGTCCATCTTGCAACCTCCTCAGTGGCATGTTGCTCCTGGGGCTATGTGGCACCACACTGATCCCTACTCAGGGCTTTGCCAACAAGCACAATCTTCCCTATGGAAGTCCCATATTTCATAACCCATTCATATGTGCTGGAACTACGGGTGCTGGAGGTACAGCTGCACCCTGGCTTGAAGTGGTTTCAATTATATTCAGGGTTTGCAGTTTGATTCAATGGCTCTCAGCACTCCCACTATACAAATTGTTTCAGCAATCCCGGCCTGATTTCTTACAGAAAGGTAAGCAAATGTGACATAGCTGACTATGACATTGGAAGGTAATTTTATTTTTTCTTCCAGATTCAACTTTTCATGGTTGATCACTCCAGAATGTTTGTATTTGCTTCCGAAATAATTGCCCAGTTTGAAGTTTTTAAACCACAAACTCTGTTTTCTTTCTCCATATCAGTCACTTGACTTCACCGGCAGTGGTGGATACTCAGCCCTTTTGGTTATAAAACCCACTGTATCCATGAAAATGGAGGTACTCTGTTTAGCAGCCACTCTTCAAAATTTGTCCCAAAGTGACTTCCACAACATCCAGAACCAACAACAAGTGAGTAGCAGAGCTGCAAATGTCCTGACTAGGATGTGGGAGACACGTAAGGCAAGATGTTCAGTTCAAGAGGGGTCGGCAGAAAACCAACTCTTTTGTGTTTTCTTGAAGTAAAAGTTCAAATCAAACCCCCAAGGGTTTTCCCTATTGCTTTGCTAGGATACCTGTCACCATGGTATCTAAGCACTGAGAGGAAGCTAACTTACCTCCCTGTCTAGCTCCTAGACACCACACTAAGTGTCTTGGTTCCTCGTGTTCATGGAAATCTTTATATTGAAGGATTTTATTTAAGGATTACCTACCTGTAAAACAAGAGATGCCAGAGCCTGCTGTTCACTGAAGGCTGCAGATCACCCTCAGAAGCCCAGAGCCCCATCTTCCAAGATGGAGGGTGATCATTATTGACACAACAAGTGTTACACACATCCTGCTCCACCTGCTCACTGTTGTTAGTTCTGAGGAAGACATAGGCTTCTGCAGACACAAAGACATGCCAAATCAGATACTGTGCTTCAAGCTCTTAGTCCTTATAGAAGGATGACAGGACGGGAAGAGGTGCCACTTGTTAATCATGAATTTTAGACACAAAAATAACAACTGATAGTAAAAAATGATGCTCTCTATAGAGGCAGCAGGGTTATAATACCTAAAGGTGTGCATCCGGAAAAGCTGCCTGGAACACTGGAGCAATATTGGGCAGAAGCATGTCTATGTGTGAGCCCCATGGCTAGAAGACCTAGAGAATGGAGATTTCTGCTCCTTCTATTTGTGAGAAGGACAAAAACCTGTTCTGGCCAACTTCATATATATCTTGTTTACCCATAATTCTACCTGAATTTAGTTAGAATATTTTTCTTTGGTGTGTAATGGTTTTAATGGATTGTTCCATGAAAAGGTGTAAAAATTGTGCAGAATATGCCCTAGGTGTGGGGTTACCCTGAGCATTCAAGAAAGGGATTTTGGCTTGAGCTCAACAAAGAAAGAGGAGGAAATTGCTCTGTCCTAGAAACCAGGAGTTCTAACTTGGGGAACAGGGTTTCTGTCAAAGAGTCCTGTTTTGCATTCCCCCTCTGGAGATCTGATGGCCTGTATGTAGGAATTTGATAGACAAGGACCAACAGGACCAGCAATGGCAGCAGAACAGAGCTGGTTCCATGGGGAGCTCTGGACCAGCAGCAGCAACATTGGAGAGCTGACTCCATGGCCAGATCATCATATCAAGCTGGCAATGCCAATACTGAGCTGACTTCACAGTACCCTAACTCACCCAGTTGGTGGAAGTGAGAGAAAACTACTGAACTGCACTAGGAGGCTGCACTGTGGAGTTCTTTCACGACCAGAGCAGACCAGCAGAGGAGAGCCATCCCTGGATACCTTTGGCTATCATTGATTCAGTCTGTGAGTGAGTTTTTGGTGGGGTAGATGGTGAGCCAGGTTTCTGGACCTTCATCAGCTGGACATTTATTACTTGATACTGAGGGATTGACCAGTCTCCTAATGAGTTAATTTGAGTTGCTCAATTTCTTATACAAATATATGTCTATATTCTGGATAGTTCATGTTTCTTTTGCCTGTTTTCTCCTCTTTTCCCATATAAAAGCATTGCTCTATCCCATGTTCCCAAAAGACTAGCAAGTAAAGGAAAAACTGCTTGCAAAGGTGACAAGTGATGTCTTTTTTAATTAATTAATTAATCTATGTCTCAGAGCCAGAAATAAGAGTCTGACTCTGGGTGGGGGCTTGAACCATTGTTTCACTTATTTATCAAAAAGAACCTCCAGACATGTTGAACTCAGCCCTTGTTGCTGCCACCTGGCAAAGGCTGATACATGCAAGGCACAAGATGTCCTATATTGACCAAGCATGGGCAGTGGGATCAAGGATTCCATAAGCCTACAGTATCTGCAATGAATTCCTATCAACTCAGCAAAGGGATCCTCTGACCATGAACAAAATACCTGATAAACCTGGGAGCAAGCTAGTCATGGATTTCTGTATATTGGGAAATTAAGTATACCTTGTGAGGGTTGATTATTGTTTGGATTATTGGCAAGTAGATCCCTTACATATAAAAACAGCAGCCTCTATCATGGAATGCTGCAGCTTGCTGGCATGGAATTGCAGAGACTGTTAATGTAGATAATGGACCACTTTGCCGGTTGGAATTTGCAGTTTGAAGTATCAGTAAAATTCACATCTTCTGCGCATCACAGCCAGTCTAATGGCAAAGCAAAAGCTGCCAACAAGAGTCCAAGCCAGTCTAATGGCAAAGCAGAAGCTGCCAACAAGAGTCCAAGATACTATTTAAAAAAGCATATTGCACTGATGATAAAGTCCCATGGGTAGCACTACCGGATTGAAAAAATAAACCACCAGAAGCCATTATAGAAAGAGAGGTTACTAAATTGATCAGTTTAAAAAGATAAGGTGCTAGGAGGTGGTGCTCAAGCGCATGTAGCATAGTTTATGGGTTTTGTAGGAATGATAAAACTTTTCCAAATGCAAAACTGCAAATCACTTCCTTTGTACAGATCTTTGAATCACCTCTTAAGTCATTAGGGAATCTTCAGCGGCACCTTAGCAACTCTGTGCCAAAAATTCTGGGGCTTAAGTTTCTGGTAAGCGATTGTTTTGGAAGCTGTGAGGGTTCACTGCCTACTGTTAGCCATTATCTTGTCCATATGATTTAGTGTAGAGCCACTGCTGTAGGAAATAGACTTTCATTCTTTCACTGCTCCATAGGAAAAATCAAGCCTATTCCTAATCACCCTCCCTCTGAAAATCAGGCCTCTTTTTTTTCTCTAGTTGAGGATCCAGAATCACTAGCCACTTACAGCAATCTTGGCTGTTATCCGTAAGTGTCTATTAAAAAAAAAAAAAAAATACCTGCTATGTCCTTGGACAAAATGATATTTTAAAATAAAATAAAATAAAATGTATTAAATGCAAAAAAAGATTCAGAAGACTCATGACACTTACAAAACTCTTCCATTTGGCTTTTAGACAGTGAAGAAAAGGGGAAAGGATTAAAAATGAACTATAGGCAAAAAAGAGGGGGAAAAAAGGAGGTGGGGAAGGCATCAAGGAAGCCAAAAACAAAAAACAGGTGTTTCATTATGAAAAATTGTGGTTAATCAAAAAACCAATCTACACAATTGATATTTTCTTAGCCAACTAGAAATCTGTTGCTATTAATTGATATTCTTCTCATTTTAAATGATTATTCAAGAGGCCTATTTCTTATCATGAATATTATGAAGGAACTAAAAGTTCAGACAACTGGATCTTTTTCAGGAAAATACAATCATTAAATATTCTTATTACCGTAGCATTTAGAACCCACAGGCATGAACCAGAACCCCACTGTTCTGTGCACTGCACCTAGCACAAAAAAGTTCCCTGCCCCCATAGAACTTACAATCTAAGTATATAGCATTTTTTAAAAAAGAAAAGATTTCTACGTTTACTGAGTACCTATTCACCTGTTCTGTTATAGAACTATTTAAGGACTTATCTATAGAACTGTTCATGAATTGTGTGTGTAATCCAGATGGGAGAGTTTTGTAAATGTCACGGGACCTTTCCAGTCCCCTTTCTTTCAATAAGCATTAATTTATTGATTCTTTAACTGTAGCAGCAGAAATGCTAACAGATGGGTTTTCACCACTGTGGAGACTAGACTTTTTAAATATTTTATAAAATATACCAGTAAAAAGAAGTGAAAATAGATGGTGCTTTCTAGTACCTGCTCCCAATTAAGGCTACTTTATTAGAATGATGTCATGTTCTCAGCATGGATGAACAAAAATACTTATGGCATTTATTCCCCCTTACATTTCTTTTGGTCTCACTCAGAGTGCTCACTCAACAGCACTCTAAAATTAAACCAAGACATCATTAAATGAGGTCTTTGTTGAAGTAAAGGGGACTTTTATGTGTGCATTTATTGCAGGATCATGCAATACAGCTAGTACAATATTAATATTTCTCTCCTCCCTATTAGTAGCTGATTCTGCTATTGTATTGTGCCTGTTACCCTAATATTCCCTTCTCCTATGTTTTTTCTCAGTTTTCAGGTTTATTCAAGAGCAGATGGTAATTTAAGGCTTCCATGCCACCTCCCTGGACTCTTCCTCAAGCCACACTGCAGATTGCGATTCAACTCCCTCAACTCATAAGACCCCCTTGATCCTTCCAGCTCTGAGAGAATCCACTGGAAGCAAGGAAAGCCTGCACAGGAGCTCTTTGCCTCTCCAGTGCCACCCAGCCCTTGATCTTCCTGTACCCATTGACAGCTCAATCCTGACTGTCAAGGGTGCTCCACCACCATTGCCCCCTGGTCCTCCTTGGCAGGTGCATGTTCCAGATCCTCTGTCCCAGATCTGCATATTTTCCAGAAGGTAAAAGCGGAGGGGGAAATGGGCCCTAAGGGTTGATCAAAAACTAGATTTGTCTCTTTTGTGTGTGTGTGGATTTACAGCTTTTCCCCCTCTTTCCCTCCAATGAACCAAGAGCCTGTTCATTACCAGTTGAAATCTGTAATTTCTATATTATTATTTCTGTGATTCTGCTCTTCCGGTTGTTCTTGTTGCTGGAATTAGGTCTCTAACCCTTTTTTCTGGGAAAGCAGTTTCATTGCATAATACTGGTTTCTGATGGGCTTAAAACTCTCTTGTCAGCAAGAGATGGGAAGATATCCAATTGCAACAGTGGTATCTGCTGTAAACGCACAGCATCTTGTTTTGCACCGGTCAGAAATGAAGTTGTCTATTGTATTATTAAGAATTGGAATGGTTAAAGAAAGTTGCTTATTGCTTTAGTAAGTATCTCAGTGGTAATAACTGGAGTTATTACAAAGCCTCAGCGTGATCCTGCAATCTCTCCTCATCTGCTGGGAATTCTGTGAATGCAGCATTTACAGTATTAGGCTACATATTACTTCTTTCAAAGTAGTAGTTAAAAGAGCTGTTGTTACTGCAGTATTGTCTGATACTAGCATCTAGCACTTATATGGGACTTTTCATGCTTAGCTCTCAAACTGCTTTAAGCATCATTATACCCATTTTACAAATGGGGAAACTGAGGCAACTTGCCCAAGGTCACTTAGCAAGCCAATACCAGAGCTGGGACTAGAACCCAGCTCTGTGGGGTACTAGTACAGGGGTCTGTCCACTAGGCCATGCTGCCTTCCTAGTAACTAGTAACACTTAACCAACATTATACTCATTAATTTCTTTAGCAAAAATAAAATTCTGATGACAAAACAGAGAGGGATTGATGATAATATCACTTAACATCCAGCTGAAAACAAAGGATTACATTCTGGAAGGTGCTGATGCCCTTTTATACCACACTCATCTCCATGCTATCAGAGAGCTTTTCACTTCAGTGAGAGCTGAAAGTAGCAACCCCCTCTCAGGAGTTGCTCAGCTTCTTGCTGGATTGGTTCC